AAGGAGAATGAGGCTAAGTTATGAAGACAAAGGCTTATGAACTGGAATGTGGTTCTTTGACTTGTATGAAACATGGCCCCTGGAGTAAGCAGTTTGTGATGTTAATTGCCTTGTTTCTGCCTCCTGCTGTTTCATGTCTGTAGCTTTGAAGCGAACATTCTAGTCCTCAGTTACTGGACAATTGGGAGTAACATCAGAAATTGCCTAATCTTTTTTTTCCTGGTTATTTTATTATCAATTATTCCTATTAAAAATGGCCTTGTAGTGTGATCTGTGGAATAAATACTATAAAGAGGGAAACAACAAAACCATGAACAAAATGACTGTTGTTCGAGATACCAGTTCTAAGCGAATGCTCACCAGCCATTTTAGTTCCCGTTCTGTATTCTCAGTGCATATATGAGAGAATGCCTGAGTGGCTGTGCTTTCCTCTCTCTGAGTTTGTCTCAGTTATCTCTTACCATTTAACAAAGTTTCTGAAAAATTAGCAGTGTGGAAAAATAGACTTTATGTTACAATTTCTGTGCATCAGGGATCTGAGTGCATCTCCGCTGGGTCTTCCCGCGAAGCTAGCTACAGGGGAGGTGTTTGTTGATGCTGTAGTCCTCCCGAGGCTCTGCTAGGGAAGTATTAGCTCCTCCAGTTCTCACTTGCCTGTTGACCAGCACCCCTTTTCTGTAGGCCCTAGTACAGCATGGGAGCTGGGACCTCTAGGACAAAGAGGGACCGTGACAAAAGCCAGAGTCTTTCTGTAATGTAATCTCAGAGTGACTTTAATTACTTCCTGTGTTCTCCTAATAAAAATGACTAGTGTGTCCCAAGAGGTGAGATGTTGCATCTTTTCTTTTTTACAGTCTGATCTCATGAGATAGGGCTCTGCAGTTTGACTTAGGTATATGCCTACCTCTGGAATGAAGGCTGAAACATATTCAAGGTGCTTATTAACTGAATACATATTATCTGGAGCCCTTTTGTCTGTATGAAGAGGATCATTCCACTTAGGGGCTTTATAAGTCTTTTAAAAATAATACGTACTACATAGGTTAATTATTATTAGACCAACTTTGCATGTCTTGGGAAATCAGAATGGGTGAAGGTAGTGGTATTTTAGAAAGTCCTTTGCTGTGTTTGATTTGTTCTCATTTAGAACTCTTGAGTCAACTGCATTGATACAGGCCTGTGATTTTTCTTTATTTTATTCTCGTCAGGTTTAAGTATGAAGACTCGGGTAGCTTTATAAAATGAACTGAGAAATCTTTCTTTTGGAGAATGCCACGGACCACAGAGCACAGCATGGCTTCTCCCATCCATAGCCTGTGGGTTGCCCAGTGCCAAGGGAACAAGACAGTTTACACCACCATTCCTGGTCCCTTAGCAAGTAGTCCATTATGAGCAGTTAAGTTTCCAAGTAGTTCATTATGAAACTTTCTTAACTGAACTGTGCGATGGTTGTTAAAGCTTCGAAGCTGTTTGGGAATGCTTCCAGCCAAGAGCGAAGCAGCAGCGGTTTGACCGACTCACTTTCTCCGGGAGGAAAGAATGATTCCTCCCTGGTCATTTTGGTCTCATTCTGCAGCACCAGCAGGAAATAGCAGCTATCACACCAGCTGGAGGGATAGGCTGGCCAGGGCTGAGCGTATGTCCTATCAGAAGGATCCGAAGTTCATTTCTTCTCTGGTCTTCATGCTCAGCACATAGTCTCTTAAGAGCATAACAAGTCCAAATGGCATTGGAGTTATTTTAAGCCATTGTGTATCAATTTCAAACAGGAAGCAGTAGAAAGGGGGAAGGTCAAAAGGAAATGGAGGCTGAAAGAAGGTGGGTGTTGGGTGTTGCAGCTCGCAGTCTTGACCCCGGGTTTCTTCAGCAGGATAAATGTTAAAGAAATTTGAAAACGTTCTTATTCCCAGAGTATAGTATCCTTATACTTTGAACCCTCCAAGATTAAAAGTTTCGTAATGACTAATTTTTCTTAGTGTTGGAGACTGGACCTTGGCAGGCCAGGCAAGCATATCACTGAACTAAATCCCTATCCTTTTTTACTTTAATTTTGAGACAGGCTTTCAGTAAGTTGTCTAAGGTGGCCTTGAACTTGCTTTACAGCCCGGGGGACAGAGAGGGAGGGAGGGGGCTTGAATTTATAATCTTGGTACTTCAGCCTCCCAAGTTAGCTGGGATTACAGGTCTATGCCACAAAGACTATCTGTTTTTCTTTATCATAGTGCGTTGAGTTAAAGATTAACCATTTTTACTGGTAATCAGGAGACAAACACTCTTGAATTTTAATCCTTCAGAAGCCTAGTCTATTTAAGTTCATTTTACATGTATTATCCTTTAGTGACACAAAGCATTCACAAGGTGGTTTCTCGCTTTTTGTGTATCTAAAGAAAAACAGTGTGGGGGGATTAGCATGTGGTCTTTGCCAGTAGCTCTCGGTTCACTTGTTTTGCTGGTTTATATATATTAAACTTATTTAAATTTTCTAAAGAAACCATGAGTTGAATTTGTGTCAATTTCTGTGCATATGAGATCTTTTGTTAATGTGATCTTTGATATTAATGGGCCTGTTAGCCCACCTGCTTACGGTAATTTGCGAATGGCAGTCTTTAATCAAAGCACAAGTATAAGTGCTCTTTATTAAGTGTCAGGATTGATAGTGTCTGACTGGTGGAGTTAAGAAGGACTTCCGGTGAGGATAGGTCTGAGGCACATCTTTAAAGGAAACAGTTCTGTTTCATGACAGTACAGAAGCTTTTTTGCTTTTCTCTTTGTGGATGTAGAAGGATGAGCGGGTGATAGAAATAACCCAGCAATAAATGTTAATTTAGTTCTCCCTTAGAGTTTAGCATTTACGGACTAAAGGCAGAAATCTTGATGAAGGGCACCGAGGAAAAATAACCAGGCGGAGAAGACAGTTTAGCCTGGGCTGTCAGGAAACCAGCCCTGGGGCTGCTGCCTGGAGACTGTCGAGTCTCTTCTGCGGTTTCTTCGGTTTCACGCTGCCTTGAAGAAGTGTTCCCTGTCGGAAAATCGTCTTTTCTGAGTTTTCCTACCAGTCAGTCACTGCCCTAGCCAGTGTTTTGGCTTCCCATGAGACTAGTTTGGCTAGTTTGGAGAATTTCTTTCTCAGTCATAAAAACTGTACCTCTGTGTCCGGGGCTTGTTTGATTGAGCATAAGGTCTGTGAGCTGCTTTTGTGTCACACCTACTTACTGCTGTGTGTCTTCTGTGTGAATGTACACTCAGACCTCTTGGTGGACAGGTGATCTTTTCCATTATTTTCAGTCATTACAGATGATTTAGCTTGATTAGTTTGAGTTCATCGTTGGTTTCCTTCCCATTTTCCTGATGGCCAGGACAATGAGCGTCTTTAAATGTGATTTTGGTCTCTGTGTGTATGTTCTGCTGCAGAGTATCTGTTTTAGGTTTTCCTCTGCTTTTAACTTTTGAAAATGAAGTCTTCCTTTTGGATGAAGATGTGTGTTCCCTGATCTGCTGGTTCTTCATAGTCTAGCATGAAGCCGGGAAACAGATTCCCAGGCAGTAGCCACAGTGGACAGCGTGGCTGTAGGATGAGCTGTAGGATTTGCCTTGTACCTTGTTATGCTAATGAGCCTGACAGCAGTCACAGGTCATTGCTTTACAGATAGGATCACTCACGTGTGGCCAGGATTAGGACCGTGGTTAAATGTTCTGTAGCTGTGTGCAGTCACATCTTTCTCCTAAGTTACGGAGGTTTGGACAACCCCCCTTCTACTTTTTGTCTTCATGGGTTTTACTTAAGTGTCTCCTGTAGGTTTAGTTATATAGGTCTTCTTTCTTTGTGAATGGTGTGTTTCAGTGAATGCAGTGGTTTTAGACTTCATATTATAGTGTATGCCTGAATTTGTTTGTTAAGTTTGAGTAATAGTCATTTCACATACATGCTATATTGTACTTCACTGTTTGTCTGTCAGTGGACCCTCAGTTGCATCTATGTTTTTGCTATTATAAATAATGAAGCTTTGAACATGGGATGTGGGTATGGGAATAAATCAGACACCATTTTTCGTTCTTTTGGATGCATACACAGAAGTATAATCATTCACTGATGGGAGTTGTAACTTTCAGTGTTTGAGAAAGCATCATACTGTTTCCCATGGCTGTACCATTTCACATTCCTACAGGACTACACAGGGCTCTCTGTGTCCTTGCCAAATTTCTCATGTGCAATCGCCATTCTGAGTGTGTGAGCAGGTAGCTTTGCTTCCTTGTACAGAGGAATGTGACAGCTGCTACATGGTAACTGGTTTATGAGGCTGTACTGCTATTATTTTTCCTGAATTTATGTATATGAGAGATAAATGCTGATATACAGCTTTAAAAACAGGTTTTGTGGGTTTTAAAATCTCTCAAAGTTACTTACATTGTTTTCTTTAATTCATAAATATACTGGATCTTTGCTCATGGTTTAAGCTTTGTATTGAATTAAAAATATTTTACTATCTGAAAATATCTCAAATCTAATTATTTTAAAGCAGAGAGATAATTCCTGCCGAATAACTCTGAGTCTAGTTTTACTGATTTGTTGCTCTTCTTACCTTTTCTTTACCTTGTTTTATTTAAGACCAATGTTCTAATTTTGTGTGTTTGTATTTAGCATAGGGCAGTTATTTCTATAAAAATTACAGTATCATTTTAGCTTGTTCTTCAACTTGCGAGAGTGGCTGGTACATGTTGGGCAGGAATGAGTGTAAAATGATTTGAAATGAGACAGTGTACAGGTTTGCGTACTGGAAACATAATAAGAACCTGGACATTGGCTTCCACAGTTACTTCGTCAGTTTTGTTCTGCACTGTCTGAAAGTTGACTTGTGTTGTTATATATTATTCTACTCTATCGTTGATTTCTGGGATGAGAAGTGGAAAGGCTGTTTGAATACTGTATGTACTAACAGAGTCGGGATTACAGGCTGTCAGTCTGGTCGTCTTATCGTGCCATTTGTTATCCGTTCCCACAGCTTTGTACTCCATCATACTCTTCTGTGTGTTCTTCTGGATCCCCTTTGTCTACTTCTACTATGAGGAGAAGGATGACGACGACACCAGTAAATGCACTGTGAGTTGGCTCAGTCTGGGGTGCTCGGCTCAGTTCAGAAGGTCACTTCTTCAGTGTGAAAAACGGCCTGACTCCACTTGACTTGGTTCTAGCCCTGATTTAGAGCCTGGTGACTTAGGTGACTTAGGAAAAACTATTCACTCTCTTTGGGACTCGGCTCCCTGCCTCTAAAATAGAGGAGAGAGTACCTACCTTACACTTGGTGTGAGAATTAGGTAAATTTACTTGCATAAAATGCTTAGAATAGTGCCTGGCATGATAAATGTGGTACATGGATTTAAACCACACATACGAGCTAGGTGGGGCGGTGCACACTTGTAATCCCAGCACTTGTGAGAAGGAGGCAGGAGGATTGCCGAGTTGAGCACCAATCTGGCTACATAGTGATTTATATGTGTGTATCTATACTTATGTTGACAAATGTAGCAAAACATATAGATGTTTATGTAGTTGTTATGTATTGATATTTTATGGACATAAACATGTACAATCATAAGACTATTACTTATTCTTAGCCGGGCATGGTGGCACACACCTCTAATCCCAGTACTGGGGAGACAGGGAGACAGACACAGACAGATCTCTGCGTTCGAGGCCAGCCTGGTCTACAGAATGAGTTCCAGGATAGCCGGGGCTACACAAAGAAACCCTGTCTCAAAAAAATAAACACAAGCAAACAAATAAAAAGAATATTGCTTATTCTTATAACTGCTTTTGGTGATTGCATTAAGGGTATATTGTAGGTGCTGAATGTTCATTTGGGGAATATTTTTCTATTTTGACAGTTTCATCTAATTATGCTTTCAGTGTGGTGCCTTTCTAAAGGGTCTAACCATTCCAGATTTTAGAATCTTGCAAAGACACTTAAGATGCAGAATACTGATTATAGTTTTCTTTAAATTTGTTTGTTGTTGTTTTGGTGTCTGTCCTGGATCTCACTCTGTAGACCAGGCTGGCCTTGAACTCACAGAGATCCCCCTGACTCTGCCTCCCGAGTGCTGGGACTAAAGGTGTGCGCCACCACCGACCAGCCATTTTCTTTAAATTTGAAGGCTTTTCTGTCCAACAATTGAAATCTTGCACTCTAGACTTGAAATGTGTATTTGATATCAAAGAGAGCGTTATTATGCTGTCACAGTACCTTTTTATGTAAAGGCTTGCTAACTGATATGTTTCCCCCTTGGCCTCTAGCAAATTAAAACAGCGCTGAAGTACACTTTGGGATTCGTTGTGATTTGCGCACTTCTTCTTCTCGTTGGGTAAGTCTTGATTTTTCATTGTGCCAATGGAAAAAAATATTTGAGTAATAATAACTGAAGGTTCATTCAGAAAAATTTAGACAAGGAAAGCAAAACAAAATGTGAAAAAAAAAAAAAAACCCAAACAAATGGCCTTTTATGTCCCATTGTATGGAGACACAGTGAACACTGGTAGTTGCTGCTAGCCACTTTGCAAATCTCTGTGTCGTGTACCCTCTGTTATTACTGGTTTTACAAAAATACATTTGTTTTTTTTGTCTTTTGTTTGTTTGTTTGGTTTGGTTTTTCAAGACAGGTTTCTCCGTGTAGTTTTGGTGCCTGTCCTGCCTGGATCTCATTCTGTAGACCAGGCTGGCCTTGAACTCACAGAGATCCACCTGCCTCTGCCTCCCGAGTGCTGGGATTAAAGGTGTGCGCCATTGCCACCCGGCCTACATTTGTATTTTGTCCAATTCTTGGTGATGTTCCAGTATTGACACTATTGCCATAGTGTTTTGGGCGGCTGTAAGTGTGAATTCATCAGTTGATGGTGGTAGCGACTTCTTAGGGGACAGCGGTTCGTGTGAGTGGGCTCCCAGGGCTCCTGACATGATCGTCACATGTTAAAAACGGAAGTCCGTGTCTGTACAGCCCCTGTGTTTGCCCCCCTGTCAGATCTCTGTCAGTGAGCTCCAGTCAGTGAGCTCCCTCAGTGAAGCTTTACACATTGATTCATGCATCTGATTTCTGTCCTTGTTCCTTGGAGATTTTTGCCTTTGTTAAAATAGATCTTATCCTTTCACATTTTTTTTATAGCAAAAAGGTGAACAAAATGATCCTTATTTGCAATGTCATGGTTTTTAAAATTTTTAATTAAAATTCTTTTGATATTATGATACAATTACATCATTTCCTTTTCCCTTTCATCCCTCCAAACCCATGTGCTCACATCCCCTTGAGGACATACATTAGGTGGCAATATGCTTTTAATAATTTTTGTTTATAATTAATTTGGTGGGTTTTTAAAAAAATAAATTTTATTCTATGTATAGGGTTTGCCTGCATAAATATCTGTGCATCACCTGTGTGCCTGGTGCCTGGTTCCTGGTGCCTGCAGAGGTCAGAGAGGGCATGGACCCCCTGGAACTGGAATTACAGACAATTGTGAGCTTTTATATGGGTGCTGGTAATTGAACCCAGATCCTCTGGAAGTGCTCTTAACCACTAACCAGCCTTCCTGCCCATAATTTGGTGTTTACAATTTCAGTAAATAACTTAGAATACTGTAAACATTCATTAGATGTAATTGTGATGGGAATGACATCTGCCAGTGGCCTCTGTGGGTCCCGAGGACCATGGAGTATATGCTTCCCATTCAGTTATTTTCCTGTTTCTTTTGCCTGTCTTGCTGGGTCATAAAAGGGGTGCATTGAAAGAGCATACGTTTAGGGTTTTGTTATTTGTTGAGCTACTGAATATACTTTTACAAACCCCCTTTCCTACTAAAACTCAGAGGTATTTAAGCGAATTTCCCTGATGACATGGAAATCTTGTTAGCCTGTTACTTAGAACGGGGGTCAGCAAGCTTAAGGGACTGATATGAAGCAAATACTTTAGGTTTGCAGTGCATTTAGTTTGTGTGGTTTGTGAGTCCTTTTGTAGCTCTGGGGTAATCATAGACTCGTAAACAAAAAATGACAGTAAAACTTATATTTTCATAAATACAATCACTAACGTGGCAGATCTCCGATTTAGAACGTGACTGAGAACTGCCAATAAAATCACTTATCTCTACAGAAGCCAGAGTAAAAGGATCATGGTATCTGGGACAGTGCTCTTCTCATTACCATATGTAAAGATTTGAATGAGGCATACCTTTCAGTTAAGTGAATTATTGAATTTCTTGAGAAATTTTTTTAAATTTAGTTTTTGTTTTTAATATATTCCCACTGCAGTTTCCCCTCCTCTACTCCTTGCAGTCGCTACCCCCCACCTCTCCTCTTCCCTGCACCCCCCCCCTTCCTCTCCCTCCTCTGTTTCCCTTCAGAAAAGAGCAGGGGCCTCCCAGGGATAACTGCTGAACACAGTGTAACAAGATACAACCCCTCATAGCAAAGCTGGGTGAGACAACTCAGTAGGAAGAAAAGGGTCCCAAGAGCAGACAGAAGAGTCCTAGACACCCCCACTCCCACTGATAGGAGTCCCACAAAACCACCAAGCTAACAACTATCGTGTGTGTGTATGTGTGTGTGTGTGTGTGTGTGTGTGTGTGTGTGTGTGTGTGTGTGTGTGTGTGTATGCAGAGGACCTAGCTCAGACCCATGTAGGCTATGATTGCCAGCTCAGTCTTGGTGAGCCCTTGTGAGCCCTGCTTAGTTAGTTGATGTCTGCGGGCCATGTGCTCCTGGTGTCCTCAACCCCTCTGGCTCCTACAATAATACCCCAGTTTCTTTGAAAGGTTTTCTTGCTGATAAATCTGTGGATAATTTATATGGCCAGGGTGTAGTCTAGATTTTTTTGTAGCACTTGTGGTTTGTGTTCGTGCTAGATCTTAGGACCAGAAATGGAAGCTGATGGTCTCTGTTCTCAAGGTTCACATCCAGGATTCATGTAAGTAGATTAATTAGTGTTTAAGCCTCCAGTGAGAGATGCACACGAGCTGTAGGTGCTGAGGAGCAAAAGTTTTCTCATCCTTGCAGAATCAGAAGACTAGGAACGAGTAGCAGTGGAGCTGACATGTGAGTTGATGGGTCAGTTAGCTATGTGAAGAGAAAAGGCGAACGGCATGTAGACGGCAATAGTTTGCTTGTGCTGCCATAACGGAGTGCCACAGACCAGAAGCCTTAAACAGTGGACATTTAATTTTCACGGTTCTTGAAGTAAGAAGTCTGTGATCAAGATGTTGGCAGGTTTGGCCTCTGGAAAGAGTTCTGCCTAGCTCACAGATGGCCGCCCCTTACTGTCATTTTTTTCTGTGCTATGTGGAGGAAACTGTTGGGTCTCTCTACCTCTTTCAAGGACAACAATCTCGTGGGACAGGGGCTCCACTCAGCTGAAGAATGACATAAAAAGTATGTGACTTTAAACCACTTTCCCCCTCAAACTAACAAGCAAACAACCAACAGACTACAATGTGATGTTTCAAATGATCACATAGACCGTGGGCACATGATATAGACAGGTATATAGGCTCTGAATCTGGTGTGCAATGTTTAAGAAATGGTGAGTTCCATCCTACTAAGCAATGAGAAGATGTGTAATTAGCACATAGAGATGTGTGATTGTGATTCCAGGGAAGTTAATATATATGACTGATTAAAAGTCACAGCCCTATAAAGGATGCCTGGACAGGGCTCTTAGGAATTGTGTTTGTGAAGTGATGTGTTAAAAAAGTAGCAAGATCAGCTAGGTAAGCCACTAGTGAGAGGTGAGAGGTGAGGGTCTGATAGACTCAAGAGAGCAGGAAGGAACAAGGAACAGATGAACATTAAGAAGAGAGATAGGATGTGATGTGGTGGTTGAGGGTAGGAGGTGAAAATCTTGTGTTTGCGCTAAATTCATCCTTTCAATTTCATATCCCCAAAAGTCATTAATTAGCCTCTTCTTTGCCTCTTCCCAGTGATACACTGAATTAAGCTAATTGTTTTTCCTAATCAGCTTTTCAGGTTTATTATTTTCAATGATGAGAGGGAGAATTCTAATCTTACTATGTTCCCATTCTGTTTGCTACGGTGGCTATGGAAACTGGGGTGATCTGTATTTGCTGTTTTTGAGAAAGAGAAATTAAGAAGGTATTGATTTGATTTGGCTGTATCTATCCCATTAAACTACAACTCTTGATTGCCATAAATCATTTTACTAAATGCCCGATAGTCTTAACTGCTTTTGCCTCCTCAAGACTGATGTATCACATCATTATTTGATTTCAGTTGTCTCTTTAAATAAATATTGTTAATAATTTTTGAGAGTTTCACTCAATATATTTGATCAAATTCACCCCACAATCTTCCCCTTAACTGCCCAGATCTATCCCCACTTCCCTCCCCCTCCCAACTTCCTGTTTCCCCCTTTTAAAACATGTAATAACTTATGGACTCCAGTTTGTGCCCTTCATATACTTCTGCATGTGGAGCCACCCACTGGAGCATGGTCAGCCTACCGGGAGCTCAGCTGGAAGGCACACGGACTCGCCCTCACCCTCACCCGGAGGCCATCAGCTGTCCATCCATACCCAGTTCCGTGTGTGCTCAGGAATCCTTTCCTATGCCGTGTTCAAATCCTGGCTGGCTTTACCATGTGCAGGGTGTGTGCAGCTACCCCAGCTTCTGTGCGTTCATGAGTGCAGTGCTCCTGTCATTTCCAGAAGGCAGTGGATGGTTGTATCTGTTTTCTCCAGTCTTCCTTCCTTAGCCTAGCACCATTTAAGAGTCAAACTTACACCGGTGCACATTGATCATTATTACCTTTATTTGAGTACTGTTATTTAGAATTTAGGACTTAGTTATAGAATTCTTTTTTATTCTGCCTATTGATATTTCTCTTTACATACATTTATTTTGGTTCTGTTTCTTAATGATTAAATCCCAGCGGTGATGTGGTTGGGGAAGGGCTTTGAGTCTCTGCTCTAGTTTCTGCCTGAACTAATGAGTGCTAAGTCTCTGATGGATTTCATCGAAATAATTAACTTTTCCAAGTCACCCTGACTTATAGTTTATATCATTTTTTAAAGTTTAGTTTAACAATTCAAGTCATTGGGCACTTCCTCTGGGGTTACTCTGTTGCTTTTGTATTGTTGAACAGCCAAACTCAGAAGCTGGAGTATGAGGGTCCTTGAAGCTAAGACTAGTTGTTTATTCTGCCAGTGCACAATACTTTTAATTATCAAATGAAATTTTTGAGAATGAGTACTGCTTTTAAGTCTTTGAAATATATGTCCTTCCTTATTGTAGTTAAATGAATTTTTTTGTAAAATATTTTTTTCTATGCTCACAGAGTGATTATTCCCAACTAAAATTTTCAAAATACACTTCGTGGGCTGTCAAGAAAAAGTTATGCTTAATTAGGTTATTACATAAGTAGTCTTTCCTTGCTTATTCTTCTGTTAATTAAATCTTAGTAGTTAAATTAATGATTAACACTATTGACATATAACGTATAGAAGTTATTTTTAAAAGCTTATTCTACTTGGCTGCTTCTGTTTGGTTTTCTTGCCGAACAATAAATGAACTTTTTACATTTATGCTTGTGCTTTTGAGTCGATACTTTTCTTTCTAAACGTGATAAGAATTAAAGAAGACTCAAAGCAATGTGAGTTGTTAGAGTTGCCTTCCATGAGGTGGGGATTGAGCTCGGGGCCTTGGTGTGCTAGACAAACCTTGAGAGACACTGTGCCACTGACCTCATCTGCAGCTGACCTCTGAGGAGTTAAATAACCTGACCTATGTATCCCATTCATCTTTTTATACAAGTAAAGGTTTTTAAAACTAACGTTTCGGCCGGGCGGTGGTGGCGCACGCCTTTAATCCCAGCACTCGGGAGACAGAGGCAGGTGGATCTCTGTGAGTTCGAGGCCAGCCTGGTCTCCAAAGCGAGTACCAGGAAAGGCGCAAAGCTACACAGAGAAACCCTGTCTTGAAAACAAACAAACAAAAAAAAAACAACTAAAGTTTCAAAATAATTGCTGTTTTTGGAAAATATATTCAAAACGATTTTCAATATGTTAAGATACCTTAACATAACAACATATATTCACTTATATATATTCAATTCAACATATTCATTATTTCTTTTTTTAAACAAATTGGATACGTCCTATTGCTTTTCTTATAATTAAATTAGTTTAGGAAGGAAGTATGAACGTTATTTTTACCCTTTAGAGTGATTTCTCAGGAACATCTGCTTTTTACCTTAATGTCTTGATGTCTTGGTTTATTGTTCCGGCCTAGAAAATAAATTGACTATTGTGTTTCCCATTTTTTTCTTAGTGTAAGCTCTTGTAGCTGTGATTCTGTTTCAAGGCTCCTCTCACTTGTAGATTATGAAATAAAAGAGAAACGTGTATATTATTTGTATTGGGTAGGATCTTGATAGATATTGAAAAGAAGAAAAACAAAAAGCCATTTCAAGTTTCACTGTATGATATTTACTATTTATTATGGTGCATTTTATTTCAGTTTGACATATAAATATATTGAAATAATTGTATGTTACACGAATCTTAAAAGGTCTTATTAATAAAAACAAACCCAGAGACAGGTATTGGGGTGAACACTGAAAGATCAGAGAAATAGAACAAACCACAGCCACCTCACCTTGTCAATTCCTCAGCTGATCCTGTTCCCTCAGACTGGAAGCCTCTGAGTCCTCATCCAGAATGAATCTCAGCTGAACTGCTGCTCAAAAGCCTAAAAGCTTAACCAGCTCTAGTTCCTGGTCCTCACACCTTATATACCTTTCTGCTTCCTGAGATTAAAGGCGTGTGTCACCATACCTGGCTGTTTCCAGTGTGGCTTTGAACTCACAGAGATCCAGACAGATCTCTGCCTCTGGAATGCTAGGATTAAAGGCATGTGCTACCACTGCCTAACCCCTATGTTTAATATTATGGCTGTTCTGTTCTCTGACCCCCAAATAAGTTTATTGGGGTACACAATATATTAACCACAATTGTATATATTTATTTTCTGCTAATTCAACATAGAATTTTCTTATATCATGGGTCAGAATGAATATGGGATACAGTTAGTACATAGATGAGAAACCCCTCATACCTCTCTGTGTCTGGTACAGATTTAATATTTGGAAGAATTAATTTTTCTTTTAAAAACTTCTTGAAACTTGAGTTTCAGACCATTTTCTTTTATTTAACTTATTTATTTTCACCTTTGTAGTGCTTTTGTGCCACTGAATCTTCCTAGCAATAAAAATTCTACCGAGTGGGAAAAGGTGAAGTTCCTGTTTGAAGAACTTGGAAGTAGTCGTAAGTATTGAAAACATTTTTTCAAGTAACTCATATTTTGTGTTGTATGGGAACTTATGAAAATTAGCAAGTTTTTCTTTTCCTAAGAACCATTCTTTCCTTCAATGAGGAGGTTTACATCATTCAGGCTGCCTTCCAGCTAGTGTATAGGTAGCTTCCTCACTTCTGCATAAAGCTGCCATGTTATAAAGAAACTAATGTACAAAGTATTTCAATGGGATCATTATTTTAATGTGATCTTTAATTCTTTTATATAACATAAAATAATATGTTAAAGAAATGTGCTGGCATAGTGATTTTTATTTTAAATTTTTGGTAGAATGTGCTATGATGCTACTAAAGACGGAGTAATATTTCATTGAGAATGTAAATTATGGTTCATGTGAATTAAGTAATGTTTTCCTGTAGATTTAATGTCACCAAAACATGTCAGGATTGCTTTTCTTGAAATTGTAACAAGACAAAGCCTAGGTCATACTGCTTAGGTTAATAATTAAAGATTTCTTTAAAATTGTTTTAGTTGTGTGCATATGAGGAGAGGGCATGGGTATGTGCACATGGATATGGGGGGAGGGCAGAGGTGTTGGATCCCCCGGATCTGCTGTTACAGGTGGTTGTGTGCCCATACCCCCACCCCTGTGTGGGTGCTGGGAACTGAACATCAGTCCTCACCAAGAGCTGTAAGAGCTAGGAACTGCTGAGACATCTCACCAGCCTATGAACTAGGATTCTTAAAGGGAAGAAATAGATAAGTTCAGCTGGTTGCATTTACAAAGTTCCTTAGTCTTTGAAAAACAGATCAGGTAAAAGAGTTAAAATATTACTCAAAACTTTATGTGTGTTTGAACATAGCACCGAATTCCAAACACATGTAGACCCCTAACTTTCATAAACACTGTACCAAAGTGTTCTTACTTTGTATTTGCTCTCTCACAGCCCTGTACATCCTTTGATCAGCCTCCTTGTTTATACCCAGAGGGCACATAACTAATGATTATGTTGTGCAGTGGAATCTGCCATGCAGCTCTTAATTTTCTCATCTTTCTCTTGATACTTCCTCTCATCCACCACAGTCCTTAGTGTCCCCCAGCAGCAGCAAGAGTGAGCACTGCAGTCACTGCGGGGGTGGGGGTAGGGGGGTGGGGACTGCTGCAGTCACTGCAGGGCTGTGGATTTGACCTCACTGCTGCAGTCACTGCAGGGCTGTGACCTTGACCTCACTGCTGCAGTCACTGCAGGGCTATGGATTTGACCTCACTGCTGCAGTCACTGCAGGGCTGTGACCTTGATCTTACTGCTGCAGTCACTGCAGGGCTGTGACCTTGACCTCACTGCTGCAGTCACTGCAGGGCTGTGGCCTTGACCTCACTGCTGCAGTCACTGCAGGGCTGTGGCCTTGACCTCACTGCTGCAGTCACTGCAGGGCTGTGGCCTTGACCTCACTGCTGCAGTCACTGCAGGGCTGTGGCCTTGACCTCACTGCTGCAGTCACTGCAGGGCTGTGACCTTGACCTCACTGCTGCAGTCACTGCAGGGCTGTGGCCTTGACCTCACTGCTGCAGTCACTGCAGGGCTGTGGATTTGACCTCACTGCTTCAGTCACTGCAGGGCTGTGGCCTTGACCCCACTGCTGCACTGACCACTGCTCTTCTTACTGCTCACTCCTTTACTGTTTTGGATCACTTTCCTGCCCTAAGCATCAGTGCTTAGATGGCAGCGTTATTGATTTTTGTCATTCTCTTGAAATTCTGTCTCTCTTTAGTCTCGGTTTTATTTTGTGTTAAATCTAAAATGACACATTTTACATAATCTAGGTATAGTATCTTTTGAAGAATAGTTTAGTTCTCCAGCTGTATTTGTGTGTGTGTGTGGGGGGGGGGTATTTTGCATGTCTGTGTGTCTGTGCATCACATACATGTCTGGTAGCATGGAGGCCAGAGAGGAAATCTTTCCCCCTGGAACTGGCATTGCATATGCTTGTGAGCTGCTGTGTGGGTGCTGGGGATTGAACCCGGGTCCTCAGAAGGAATAAAAATGCTCTTAATTGCTGAGCCATTTCTTTTGTTTCTACTCAAGAGTTCCTAATTTCTAGTCTCATTTCCCCCCATCCCACTTCCTGTATGTGTTAGGCATCAAGTATATTTAACTGTTTTAAAATTTGTACTTAGTGTGTTCTGAAACAAACATGTTATGCACGTGCATATTCATATTATGTAAATGTGTGTGCATATCTGAGTTCAGTCAACGTGTAGAACAAGTCAACACTAAAAATTTGCTTAGTGTACTATTCAGTTACTATCACCTCCCATGTTATATAAACTATATATTACTTTACCTGTTTAAAAGTATTATCAGTATATTGTGATTTTCATATATATCTGGCTTCTTTCACCTAACAGTGTTTTAAAGTTAGTTTGTGTAAGTAATTGGTTCTTTTTTTGTAGCAAAGTAATAGATTGCATAAATATACCGTAACTCCTCAGTTAATAGACTCTGTTTATGTCCATGCCCAGATCACTGATATTATTTTATCAAGGAAATATCTTCAGCATCTTCAACAAACTTAGTTATCCTTTACCCAAGATTGAATGATTCTTTTTCTTTTCCAAATAATTATTAATGTGTGTGTGTGTGTGTGTGTGTGTGTGTGTGTGTGTGTGTGTGTGTCTGTGTGTGTGTGTGTGAATGATGTGTGCGAGTGTGTATGGATACCATGGCACAAGTGTGGAGGTCAGAGGACAACTTTACAGAATTTTTTCCTTCTACTTTTATGTGGGCCCTGGGGATTGAACTCAGGTCATCAGATTTATGTGCCAAGTTCTTTAACATCCTGAGCCATCTTTCTGGCCTAAATATATAGGAATAACTCTTAACAATTAACTGAATTCTTTGGGTCAAACCATTTTGATTATTAGTAATGCTAATTTTTTGCTAGTCTAAATATGTTAGTGGAATACTTCATTTTATTGATTCTAAGTTGTGTTTTTTCATGTTGTTTGTGTGTGTGGTAAATGCACCTGTGTGGAGGACTGGGGCACTTGCTCATGTGTGTGCATGTGGAGGCCAGCGGTTGGCAGGAGATGTTTCCTTCACTTGTTCTTCTCATTGTTTGAGATACGGTTTCTCCTTAAACCTGGAGCACACTGGTTCAGCTAGACTGCCTGGCCATCAAGTCCCTGTGATCTGCCTGTCTCTGCTGCCTAGCTAGGGCTTAGGGTGGCATACCACCACATCCACCTTTTACATGAGTGCAGCAGATCCAAGTGTAGCTGGAGTTTTCTCCAGTCCTGCCTGGCCCACGGTCAGGACAAATCTCTCTCACCCGCCAGTCCCGCAGCCACTCAGACCCAACCAAGTAAACACAGAGACTTATATTGCTTACAAACTGTATGGCTGTGGCAGGCTTCTAGCTAGCTGTTCTTATATCTTAAATTAACCCATTTCCATTAATCTATAAGTTGCCACGTAGCTCGTGGCTTACCGGTATCTTAACATCTGCTTCTCAGCAGCATCTCTCTGCCTCAGCCTTCCACTTCCCAGAATTCTCCTCTCTCCTTGTCCCGCCTATACTTCCTGCCTGGCTTCTGTCCAGTCAGCTTTATTTATCAATCAGTCATCCACAGCATCCAAGTTCGGGTCCTTATGTTTGCACACCGGATAATTTACCCCCTCAGCCATAACCTCAGACTGTTGTTCACATGTTTCAGTCTCAGATTTCAGTGTGCATCTTAGAAGTAATGGCTCCTTAAAATAGCCGGGAGCTGGGTGCCAGACCTACCTTGGTATTATAAACATTTTCTGTTGTTTCTTCTGTGACAGTCAAAAAAAGTTGACATATCTTTGATTTGATAAAATATAGTTTTTAAAAGATTTATTTGCTTATGTGTGCTCGTGTGTGTGTGTGTGTGTGTGTGTGTGTGTGTGTGTGTGTGTGTGTGTGTAAGAGAGAGAGACAGAGACAGAGAGAATTTATGTGTGCTGGCCATATCTGCCAGTGCCATGTGTGAGTAGGTACCTGGGGCAGCCAGGGAAGAAGTCAGTTCCTGGAGCTGGAGTTTCAGGCAGTTGTAAGCCGCTTGATGTGGGTGGTGGGAACCAAACTAGGCCCTCTGGATGCCAGGATGCTCTTAGCTCCAACCCTGAAATGCAGTTTAAAAAAACTAAAGGTTAAGGATTTGCCCTGACTCATGAATTTGTTAAATGTTCTTTTTATGTGTTAAATAAAACTAAGATGAGTTAAAAGATACATCATTTTAGTTCATTAACCTTCATGAACATGTTACTGTTTAAAATCTTATTAATAAAAACATTGCAGTTGGTTTCACAAGACCTGCTTTTAAGCCAGATACATCTAAACTAAATAGGACCCATATTAATAATGTGGAAAAGTTACTATTCTCAGTTAATAATAGCTGTGTTTTCATAGTATTTCTTTATGTGACCTGATACAGTTTTGTTTTACTGACCTTCCTAACTTGTTGACATAGCATTCCTAATTTCGTTTGGTCGGTACGGTTTTTGTTGCTGTTGTTGTTTGGAATATTTGATTATTGTCACTTGCTGATTTTTTGATATAGACTCTGTTCTAGTTTGATTTTTATTGCTGTGATAAAGACCATGGCCAAAAGCCACTATGGTGGAAAGGGTTGATTTCATTTTCCAGCTTGTAGGCCATCATCCAGGGAACTCAAGGCAGGAACTCAAGGCAGGAAGTAGAACAGAAACCATGGAGGATCGCTGCTTACTGGCTTGTTCACCATGGCTTGCTCAATTTGCTTCACCCAGGATCACCTGCCCAGGGGTGCCATCACTCATGGTAGCCAGGGCCCTCTAACATCAATCCTTAATGAAGAAAATGCAAAATGCCCTACAGACTTGTCTACAAGGCAGGCTGGTAGAGGCATTTTCTCAGTTGAGGTTCCTTCTTCCCAGATAGCTCTAGCTTGAGTGAAGCTGACAAAAGAACCAATCAGCACATTCTCTTGCCTCCCCATGTAGCCCAGAATGGCCTCCAGCTCTCTATTCCATGCTTCTCCCCAGTACTGAGGATATAGGTGCGCACCACCACCACCAGATAGTACAGATACTGTTCCCAATTTTCATGTCAAATTTCAATATAGTTTTGGCTCGCATTTGCTTTGCTTTTCCTGCCTAGTGGGCAAATTGATCCTCTCAAGTTAAAAAGTGAAATATGCTTCATGTTATTTCTCTGTCCTTCCGTCCTCTCCCTCTGTGTTACTCTCCTTCCCCCTCCCCAGTTAGAGGGTCACCCCTATACCTAAGGCTCAGAGAATATCACTGAAGAAGGATGGAAAGTTGTAAGAGCCAGAGGACCAGACAACTTGCTGTAGATAGGACAGGGATACCGCATACATGAACTCTCAACAACATGGTTGCCAAAACAAAACCTACACAGTGACGACACCAGTTGATGTGACATTTGGGGAGTTTCACGAGGCCCACCCCTAGAGGAAGAGCTGGGTAATGAGTGGCTGCTGAGAGAAGAAGAATCATTCTCCAGGAATGAGCCCCCCTCCTAGGTAATCCAGTTCCAAGAGGTCATCCCTAAATCCGTGTACATAAGGGCCACACTAATGGAACTTAGTAGCCCATATATGTGTAAGGATAGAAGAGATCAGAACTTGAGCGGGCTTTGAGGCTGGAGCCATGCCCAGAATTGGAGGGACAGATGGAAATGACGTAAGTACAGTACTCACATGAAACTCTCAAACAGTAAATTTAAATAAAATTTAAAAATCTTGAAAAAAGTGAAATAAACTCTAAAGATTTTAGGCTGCATATAAAACAATATTTTCAAATTAAGGGAAAAATTAACCCAAATTATCAAGACTAAGGGAAGGCAGGAAAAAAGAGAAGGGCAGGGTGCTCCTATGTCGTTTTACGACGAAGTCCAGGCATGGACTGGGGAGATGATACCCCGGTGGGCAAAGTGCTTACTGTGCACCATGAGGACCTGAGCATGGACCCAACCACCAGCATGAAAGGTCTGTAACCTCACCACAAATAGCTGGAGACAGGTGGAGGAGCCCCCAAGCTTGCTGGCTAGTAGATCTAGATGAATCAGTGAGCTTCAGATTCGATGAAATACCAAAATGGAGAGCAGCAGAGAAAGACACACAGTGTTGATATTATAACTCCACCTTCACACACACATGTTCACACATGCACATATACTCCACACACCCCAGCACACACATGTGGGCACAAACGAAAAGGTCCAAGCAATCTTTTCGTCATCTTTTTATGCATCTAATAATTTACTGATTTCTTTTTAAGTCCAACAATTAAACTGATTTTTATTCCTAATTTTTAAAAGGTGAAGGAAAGGCAATCTTAGCTGATCTAAAGGATTGTGTGAAGATCAATTTATAAAGAACTCTTTAGAAATTCCTCTCTCTCTCTTTGTTGTTGTTGTTGTTCTGTTTTTTTTTCGAGACAGGGTTTCTCTGTGTGGTTTTGGTGCCTGTTCTGGATCTCGCTCTGTAGACCAGGCTGGCCTCGAACTCACAGAGATCCGCCTGGCTCTGCCTCTCCTGAGTGCTGGGATTGAAGGCGTGCACCACCACCACCCAGCTGAAATTCCTCTCTTGAATAGGATCAGCACTGAGGGACACAGTAATATATATATATATATATAGTTCTATTCCTTCCTAATGCCTAAAGGAGCCTGACCTCTATGTTTTATATTGCTATAATGAATATAAACATTGCAGCAGTAAAAATGGCCGTTAACAGTGTTTCTTCCTCCTCCACAGATGGCTTAGCTGCGCTGTCATTTTCCATTAGCTCCCTGACCTTGATTGGAATGCTGGCAGCCATCACATACACAGTAAGTGCAATGGGACCGTCCGAGCTCGTTACAGCATCCCCTGTGCAGCCCTTTCGTACTTCAGTCATCTCTTCCCATCCTGTCCTCTTCAACTTCTCGGTTCTCTCTTGATTTCCATACTTGAGAGGATGATCAGTTTTCAGTGGTCACAGTCATCTGTTTGCAAAATTAATACTGAGAAAGGAATCTTATAACTTGTAATTACAACTAATTTTATCCTGCACAGTAGTGGAATTAGAGTTGGTACGTGCCAGATCCCTGAACCATAGGCCAGTATGTTACTAGCTCATAGACTGGTTCTGTCTGGGTGTGTACTTTTACAATCAGACACTGACACTCCTCTAGTACATAGAGCCTGGTGCTGGATTTTCTAACTTTCTGATTTTGTTCAAGTTTTTCTGGAAATAGCAAGGCATGGTAAATGACTGCTACACATACAGACTGCTCTTTGGTTTGGTCAAATAAAAAGGAAGGGGCCATAGTCAATGCTCTTTCTTACCCCTTCCCCACTGAGCTATATAAGCAGCATTTAACTTATCTGTAAGCTTTTGAGATCAGTGCAGTTATGCATAGAGCATTCTTCATTCTTGTAAAGATGGGAAATACTGTTCTTTTGGAAATATTTTTGGATGTTTTTCTTTAGGCATAAAAGAAATGGGCTGTTGCTCTGGTAGCAGAATTAAGTTATGCTACATGATCATTCATGTTTTACATAATTAAAAGACCTTGGGCTGGCAAGATTGCTTAGGGTAAAGGTATCTGCCACCAAGACTAACATTCTGAGTTTGATTTCTGGAACACGTATGATGGAGAGAACCAACTCTCACTAATTATCCACCCACATGTCCAGATACACAAACACAAACAAATAAATGTATAAAGATAATTTTAAAAAGTAGCCTAACAAACATACATTTTAATATCTTGAGGTGCTTATGTAGGTACTTAGTTTTATTACTCATTTTCAATTTTCTATGTTTTAATGTATTATAGATAAGGAGTTTGCCATCTGCTAGTAGTAGGTGGTTATCTGTCTGCTTCACAGAGTATGTTTACAGCATGGTAGTTACTGTCTTTTATAAAGGAGTCGCATGTTATAAACCAATCAGCAGTTAGACCTGGGGCTCTAGTCACTGTTCTGGCTGGTCTGTCATACTGATTATGAGTTTGTGTCTTAAGTTTCTTGAGTCTATGTCTTCTAGATTAGATGGGAATAGAAAAGGTTTCACAGGTGTTTGTGAAGTTCAAGAGGTATTGTTTATAGAAGTGCTTTGGTAATGACAAGGAAATGAGATAAGCAGTGGATGAAAGATGAGTCAGGAGAAATAAATGGGTAAAATAGAAAACATATAATGCCATTGTCCAGAACTATGAAACACCCTGCTCAGATTCTGCTACAGTTTTGTGGATTCTTAAGAAATGCAAGATTTCTGAGTCTGAGACAAGACTTTGATAATCCATCAGCAGCACTCCGTGACTTGATGTTGTCTTGTTCAGGTTTCCTGGGTTTCAGTTTCCACCAGCAAGTGTGAGTAGAATTAAAGGAAGCATGAGGTGAGGTGCATTGCAGAAAAGGAGTTCTGGCTCAGGGAAGCTGAATCATTTATGTGGACAGTAAACATGGCTGCCCCTTGCTCCAAAGGAACACTGCCTGTATCTGCCAAGGCTGTTTGCGCCACAGATGTCCTTAAAATGAGACTACTGGGGCGTGTGTGGGAGGGAGGGGTCAGGTGATACCTGACTTCCAATTGAGTGAGGAGGAAAATGAGTGAAGTCACTAAGGCCATTTGCAAGACAGCCGCCTGCAGCCACAGTGTTACGATGTTGAGAAATATGTGTTTTTAGTTAATTAACTAACTTTATTTTGTGCATGGGTGCTTTGCCTGCATGTATGTGCACCACTTGTTTGCTGGTGCCTGTAGATGCCAGAAGAAGGAACCAGATCAGGAACTGGAGTTGTAGATAATTGTGAGCTGCTTTTTGGATGCTGCGATTTAGACATGGGTCCTCTGCAAGAGCAGCCAATGTTCTTTACTATTGAGCCATCTCTACAGTCCATAGAGAAAGATGTTTAATGTTTCATGTTGTTCAAATTGAAACTTTGAAATTTTTCATTTAATCATTTAAACCGAATGATCATGTTGAATTGAGATATTCTTAAAGCACTTTTTCTCAAATACGGAAGAGTGACCTTAAAGGTAGTGATAAAATAAATGGAGGAACTTATCCTAGGGTTGGAACCAAAGGCACAGAGGCGTCGCTGAAAAGGAAGTAAGGACTGCTGAGTCCCAAGGCCAAGGAAGAGGATTCTGGGAGTAGCGTGGGTTCAGACTACCTCGGAGTTACAGCTTTTCTTTAGGCTGAACGTACAGTAAAATGGAGATTCTTACTGTGGATCTCACGTTCAAGAATCTCCTAACCTACTTTATCATCTCAGTTTCTTCATGATCGAGGTGGAGTAATGTTTCAGAAATTCGATGTGATGGTTTAACTAAACAACGTAGTAAGTCTTAAAATATGCTGACCACCCGGGAAGTAGTTGTTGTTAACTTTGCTAAATATTTATTTTATAAAAACCAAACTGCAATTTCTACTTGTTTCTTCTCCGTGTGACAGTAAAAACATGCACAAAGCAATCATATCATGAAGAGTGAGGAAGGGAATTATTCAAAGACGTGCAAGTCAGAGATGTATTCATAATTGATGGTTAGCTGGAATTGGGAGGATGTGGAAAGGGAATAAATATCATTTAAATAGCACCAAAACTGTGCTTGAAGCACAGTGAGAGAATATTTCACACGTAACCCAGGGCTTGGCTCATTTTATTACAGATACTGATGGTGGAAAGAAGGAGAGCGTGTATAGCTGAGTTAGTGTGTCTGGGTGTTATTTGACAGCTGCTGACTGATCACGTGCTGCCCTGGTAGAAAGGGGCCAGTAATCTTAACTTTATTAACATCTAATCAGAAAGCAACACCAATTCCTTTTAAAATTAATTTAAAAAAAACCAACTATTTGTAGATGGCTGCCTTTAGTGTAAATACATAATTAATATACTAGTTATTGTATTTTCACAATTGAGCTACAGAGTTTTTCCAACCTCATTATGGAAAGGCCTGATTGGTCTTTTGTGAAGTATAGTGTGAAAGAAGGCATGGTAGATATTCATAAAGGTGGAAGGGATTTAATTTTCACTTAAGTATCAAAGTGGGAAATTAAGATGTAGAGTACTTTGACCCTGAATATAAAGTCAACTAAATGGAAAATTATGTCTGTTCCAGAATTTATAGATAATTTTTAACATTGAATTTACAGTCATTTTATACCAACCAAGTGTGGATTTCATATATATGTTTTATATATATGAATTGCATATATATTATGTATTTAATTTAGTTTAGAGACTAGTTGATTATTTAACTTTCACTTAGCTTCTGACATTGTACTGTATCTTAAGGATTAGCTATGTAATCGCACACTCAGTTTTAGGAGAATGACATACTATTTTAATCTACTTATTATTTTAAGCTTAAGTTGAAAAGGGATCTGATACCACTCAGATTTAACAAATGAAACCTCTGGGGATAAATATCTATGTAGATACTGTAAATTTTCTTGGTGCCACCAAGTGGGGAAATGTTGAATGAAGATATTTCCATACAAATTATGGCCAGTGGTGTGTGCAGAGAGAGACAAGATTGCTAACTGCATGCTCATCAGCAAGATTGAAGAATGTCCTCTAAGGTGCTCATAACTAATAAGCATATATTATCCTACTCTATGTACATTTACTATAGGTTGATTATTAGTGGCATGTGTAGTAGCAAGTGTGATACAATATTTTCCTTATGCTGTTGAGAACTAATAACGTGTCTGTTTTGGAGTAGTCGACTCTGGTGTTTGGAATCTGCTTTGAAGCTAAGGTGCCATTCTGTGAATTCGCATTTTTTGTTGCTTTTTTGTCTCATCATTTGAAAGGAGAAAAATATATACCTCTATGTACCTCAGTAAAAGAATGCAGAACAGCTTCTAACTGAGGCTCTCCCCTTCTAAGAACACAGAACACCTCACCGTTGCTCCGCCAAAAGCTGTGCGGTTGTGTTTGTTCTAGTGAATGAATGTTCGTTTGCTCTGTGCTGCTTTCTTCTCCTCCGGTCTGGGTGGACTCCTTCTGTGTCATCCCTGAGACTATCTTATAAGACTATCGTAGACATGCAGGTGGCAGTTAAACTCAGTATTGTATATCAGCGATGCAGGTAACTCGGGGAAGGTGACTGTCCCTAACTAGGACTGGGTTTGCGGTGTCCTAGGGAGTGCCGTGTCTTGACTTGTGTCCCAGCAGCAGCTGTAAGATCATTAGTGTCAGGACAGAGGCAGACTTCACTGACGGCAGGTGTGAGACCCGCGTGTGTCCTTCCTTATGAGGAAGGCCTGAGGAACAACACTGTGACATTAAATCATGGGTTTACAGTGCATGAAGAGTGTTTGTTATTCTATGTGTGCGTGTTGTTGTTGAACCTTAGCAAAAATCCAGGAGTTTTGAGTTGGAAACATCATTCTAAATAAGGGAGTAACATATAAACGTTTCCATTCTAAGCTGAGCAGTGAAATAAGATGGAAGAAATGTTTGAACTTTATATATAATATTTTTGAACACTTTAGTTGTTGATTTATTCTTGGAAGCAAAACAAAACAACAAAAATTGGAGGCAATTCGGGCTAACCTAGAGGCGCTTTAAACTCTAATCCTGTTAGACTTGTCAGTTTCCTAGAAATCCACTGGAGGGCAGTAGTAAGCAATAAAAATGCTTTTGTACATTCCTCCCCCCCCCCATATGAAGATAAATTCAAAAGATTATTTAGAAACCTTAATAGTTTAAAATGTTTATTTCAAGTTTACTAAAATCTAAACATTCTAGTTAAATTTTTGGTAATCATTGAAACGTAAACGTGCAATTCAGAAGCAGGCCAAAGCTGGGTAGCCACGCCAGTGGTTACTCTCTTGTATTTGCTCCCTTCAGTGAGACTTCAAAGAGAGGTGGAGTGTCCTGGTGTCCTCTTAAAACAGGTTGTCACCGCAGGAGTATTTTTATTTTCTAAAGTACTTTACACGACGCAACTGAGTCGTTCACATCAGCTCTTCTAGTAAGTACATCAGTGTGTGTAGGAAAATAACTGTGAGTGAAGAGGTCTCTTCTTAAAGGTTTTTAATCAAGTACAATCCTCATAGGCAAATTATTTTATCTGCTTAGTAAATGTTTTAGAATAAAGACAGGAGGGGAAAGAATTGCGAGCTCATCTGAACATGTCCAATAGTCTCTGCTCCTGTTACTCAGCTCTAGCTTAGAAGCCTGATTAGCCAAGTTTGGCAGACCAATAATGTTAACTACACATTGTTATTTATTATAAGCAAGGCACATGGGCAAATCAGGGCAAGTTCCTCAGACGTGGTGTAATTAAGCTGACTTGAAATGCACTGAAATTTTCTAGTGAGGCAGGGTGGTAATGGCATTCCAGGGAGGGCACTGCCTGTATTAAAGGGGGATAAAGCATAGTGGAATTTGAAGTGGGTCGCTGGAGTGTTTTGACAGTGGTGAACGATTCGGGGAGAGAGCAGGTTAACACGATGATAGAAATTTCAAGATTACTACAAGAACTCTAATTCATGTTAAAAAAGTAATAAAACTCCTTTTTAATGCAATCTTAAGTGAGATTTGAAGAAGATATATATATGTTAAAAATGGATAGATGAGGAGAACTGCTCTGGCTACAGCAGTTGAGGATACCGCTCTTTCGCTCCCTATTTTCTGCATTGACCCTAGAAGCACTCTCCCAGAATCCTCTGCTGTGAGAAGATTTTGAATGATATCCTTGTGAGTCCTGGAGACTCTTAAAGGTTGTTAATTAGAACACAGTCTGGTGTGGGTGGAGCGTGATCACTTTGAAGCAGTATAGAAGATGGACTTGACCAAGTCAGACCAGCAGAACTGTCAGGCAAAGGTGCACTGCCTGGGCTTTGACGGCAGTGAATTGTGAATTGGGAGCATGTTGTAAATAATGACTAAAACAATAAACTCCTAGTGAAACAGTACTGGAGTTAACATGTTAAAGAATTCAGCCCTGTTCAGCACAGGATGAGCAACTCAATTCATGCTCCCTCCTAACTACAGGGGAGAATGAGTACTGTGGTTGTGTGCTTAGAAGAAATATGAAAAAGGTTTTAGATGACAAGTTTGCCTCTGGTTCAGAGTCTGTTGGTGCAACCACAAGGTAATGGTTGTCAATGTTTCTTAAGTACAATGTTTCTTAAGTAAATGTGTCTGCATGATGACCACATAGTGAATGAAACAAAGAAAAAAGGAAAGAAAAGGAACAGGACTGCTCTTAGCTATGGTGGAGGAGAAGGTTCATTGTAGACATGTCAGAGCATAGCAGCAGCAGAGACCTCTGGGAGAGTCCAGAGTAGACATGACCCTGAGCAGGCTGTGTGAGGAGAGGGGGGAGGGGAAGAGGAGAGTGGGGAACCAGGGGCAGCAGCCAGGAGGCCCAAAGGTACTAGGAGAATGGGTAACCAAAATGGTTGGATTATATAGGGAAGAGCAGCCCAGCCTCCCGAGCTGGAGAGTTTTAGGGTAGAGGTCTGGATATGCCAGCGAGGAGGGACCTGTAACAGGCGGGGACTGAAGGATGCAGGGAGAACCTGGTGGCCAGATTTGCTTTGATGTGATAAGTAGGCACCTCAGCCATTTGTCCCAGTTTGTAACCTAAGTAACATATAGCAAATGCCATTGAGTTTTATGTTGATGGGTGTAATAAAAATATCATTTGGGAATGGAATATGGAACTGAGTAGTATGTTATTTTTAATGTTGGAAATTAATTGTTGAAATGTATTTGAAGATTAGTAAAAAGTTTGGTTATTTGTACATAGAATATTAAGTTGTATATAAATAATTAGTCTATTCATCAATTATCAGGGATATATTCTAAAGTTTACTTTATGTAACTGGAGTAAATTATTTTTATACTAATAAAAATTTATACTAGTAAAAATAACTTTCTTGGCTTTTGTATGAACTCATACTATGTTAACATGATTAGTCTGAAGTTATAACTTATCACTCTGATAAAGTCTGACTAATTTGTTTTAGAAACATAACTGCATACGTGTAACTGAAGTAAATAAAAGAATTCTGAGATGAGGAGTGTGATCAGGGCCGTACGGACATATTGCTTTGTGACCAACTTTACTTGTTCACTCCTGCTCACTTTCAAGTTACTACTCTGAAGGACATCGTTTTTGAAACTGAAAATGGCTTATCAAATGTTTTGAGTAGCTTTATTAAAACATGTTCATGTTGTTCCTTTCAGGCATATGGCATGTCAGCATTACCTTTAAACCTGATAAAAGGCACTAGAAATGCTGCTTATGAACGCCTGGAAAACACTGAAGACATTGAGGAGGTGGAGCAGCACATTCAAGCCATTCGATCAAAAGTGAGTTCCTGGCTTGTCATTGGAAGCACAGAGTTACCTTGTCTTTGCGATCCTTCATGAGGAGTTTGCCGTTGACAAGCTCAGAATTCTGTTTGAATTCTGTGCAACAAATACTTCAAGGATTATGTCCCTTTGCTATCTTTTTATTTTCGATGTAATATATAGGATACTGGCAATTTGAGAATTTCTGTTGGTGTTTTAACAAATTTCTGTTGGTGTTTTAACAACTAAAAAGAGCCTGCTGCTTGCTTATGATCCAGACTTCTGTTCTCAGTCACCCCGATTTTATGTGTAATGTGTTGCTTTGCCTCTCTAAGGTTCAAATTTGGGGTATTTGTTGAGCAGTTTAAGGTTACTTTTAATTTTGTGTGATGTAAATGTATTTCTAAGAACACGATAACAATTTTTCCTCTGTTCTTTTCAAATACCACATACACACTTTTTTTTTTCAACAAGAAGGGCATACTTAAGTACTCACCTTAAAGGTACAGCACATCAGGTTAGCATATTGTGTTAGCCAAGCAACTCTTTTGTTTTGTTTTCATCTGTTTATCTGGGCGGGCTGGGGGTGATGGGCACGTGCCATCGCACATGTGTAGAAGTCAAATGACAGCTGGGGAGTCAGTTATCTTCTTTGACCATGTGAGTTTTGGGGACTGAAGTCAGGTCGTCAGGCTTGGCAGCAAGCATCCTTCCTCACTGAACCGTCTGGCAGGTCCTGGAGCAGTTGCTGATTCACGGATGTGAGTCTGCATCTCTAACCTGGGTGGGTCACAACACAGAGAAATGAGCATGCTGATACCTAGCTGGCTTTCTTTTTTCCTTGTTTATCAAGTCTGAGGACCCCAGCCCATGGGGTGGTGCTGCCTGTATTTAAGGGTAACCTTTATTTCCTCAGTCCATCCTCTCTAGAGTAGTTCTCAAAGACATCCAAAAGTGTGTCTCATCCAGGCTGTACATGTTTGCCCAAGTCAATAAATTCACAATGAAACTAAACCATCAAAAGTTCATCCTTTTTAAACATGATGCCCCAAAAGATCTACCTCCATCTCATACTATGAAACGCAGCTAGTCTGTTTTTAAGAGTCCCTGACATCTTAACAGTCCTAATGCTGCTACAGTGTCTCAGTCCTGAGGAAGGAGGATACAATCTCTTCACTATGAGACCTTGTAAAATAAGAGTCAGGTCAGTACCAGCATATAATGGCATAGGGCAAACATTCCCATTGCAACAAGAAAGAACAGGAAGATAGCAAGGAAAGTGGGCAGACATCAACCCGAAGTTCCAGGCCTGGCATCTAGGGCTCACGGTGGCATCATCTCTTAGAATGAGCTTGGGTGGCTCTGCTCCTCCTACTCTGTTACTGGTAGCTCATGTCACATGTGGGCTCTTTCGCTTTGCTTCTACTCAGAGTCTACAGCTTTCCCCAGCAGATGTCTCACGTTTCTGGCAGCTCCAGTATCGTGGGGTTTCCATTCCAATTTAAGCTTTCCCTTCACACCTCCATGAACAGTCTGCTCAGGAGCTCTCTGCAGAAATACCAACCCTGCTACATATTGCCAGGTCTCCTTGACTCTCTGAACCTTGCTGCAAGCCTAATAATCTACTCTTGCAACCTATGTGCTTGCAAAACCGTCATTGTGAGTGCAATGCTACCTTCTGATGCCAGCTCAAGATATAGCCTGGTCCCCTGAACCACATATGCAGTGGCCTCTGTGTATCTATGGCAACCTAGGAAAGCACTTCCTTTGATGTCCATTTCCCGGCAGAGTGCCCTGAAGGAACTATTTTTTCAGGCATCATCTTTCAGACAGATTTGAAGTATTACTTCTTGGGATTCTCAATGGGCAGAGAGTTGCCTTCCAGCCCCTATCCCACCAGCCAGTGCGAGCCTGTGATTGCTCTACAGTGGTGCTCTTCACAAACACTTCCGGACGTTTGTCTGTGTCTGTCTTGGTCAACTTTGAGCTCCTCATGCTCCCTTCCTCCTCAGACTCTTCATTTTTCATATCTTTATGCTCCGTGTGCTCAGCATAAATCTGAGAAGACTGAGCAGTAGTCCTGTCACAGCCTGAAGGATATGCTGTCTTCAGACTGTCTTCACGACACCATGCAGTCCTTTACTTTGGAACTTAAGCTTCCTGAAGTTTTAAGCACCTGGGCAGATTACTGCCAGATTCTTTGCCAAAATGGAACCCGAATGGGCTCTTGCTGGGTTCCTGTTGGAGGCACTGTTGCCCTCTGGAAACTCTTGAGCCCGGCTTTCACTGTCCAACCTTCTGGCCTTCAGAACTCCAACTGGAATGGCTCATTAAGATAAGCTATGAAGGAGGTTGGTTGGTTTCAGGAGGGCCGGCACAACCATGGAGAGATGTTTATAGCTGCGGGAGGCTCCTCTGAAAGGTGGTCCAGGCACCGTCTTCAGTAGTTCTTTCAAATCGAGGCTGCAGTAGCATGTGCTGGTGAGCGAATGTTTTGTACTGTAATAGGAACATATTATGAACATAATAAGAACAGTATGGCTACCCCCCTGTTCTTAGTGTCTTTGCATGTTTAAAGTAGAACTCCCAGCAAATATGTGTCCTTCTAATAAAAGCAGGTGTGTTCTGCATCCTTTCTGGGTTTGTTTTTATGGAATGCTTTTATGAATCATTATGCTCACATATCTTTAGCACGTAGTAGGAATCCTGCAGAAGCACACATCAGGCAGCTCCTTTTCAGCACAGGCCTTGGTCGGGCTGTGCCCGTTACATGGTTGTGTACATTGTTTGAGTTGTGCATTTGCCTGTGTGGAGTGTCCAGCCTTAGAAAAGCTGCTTGATTATTTTGTTAAGACTTTAATGATTTGAAAGGAAAAGCCCTTGATTTTGTTCTATTATTTGTAGAGCAAAGATGGTCGGCCTTTGCCTGCGAGGGATAGACGTACCTTAAAGCAGTGTGAAGAAAGATTACGGACGCTTAGGAAAAGAGACCGGCACTTAGAATTCATTGAAAACAGCTGGTGGACGAAATTTTGTGGTGCCCTGCGCCCCCTGAAGGTAAATGGAAATTTAAAAAACTTATTATCCTGTCAGTATTTTGCAGGCTTATGTAGTACCTCTTAGAGAGGTTGAGTCCTCCCTTGGCAGTATTCCACCACAGAAACTTAAGAGCATGGACTCTGGAGTTGAAATAATCAAGTTTGAGTCACTGCTGTGTGATTTGGTGGTTTGAATAAGGCATGTAACCATCAGAGATCCACTCACTCCTTGTAACGTATCATTAGGAAATTCAAATGAAAGTAAAGAGAAGTAGTATAATAAGCTCGGAGCGTATTTTGTGGGTCAGTACTGTACTGCACATGGGAGAGTGGGGACACATACTAGGACTCAGGAACCCTGCCTTAAGGTGACAGCTTGCCTGTTAGATGAGCGTCGAGAAGTGTGTAAAACGCTGCTAATGAACTGGAAACCATGACTTTCTCCCTTTCGGAATTCATCATTTGCCAGAGATCTGTTTTTAAATCTACTTTGTCTCCTGTTCCCTGCAGCTCCAACCAGGTGTAGTGGTCTTTCACAGTTTAGTTTAAGCTTTCAAGAGAAGTGAAACACAAAAATCCTGCTTCACCACAGCACAGTGTTTGTTATGTGATTTTTAAGATTTATTTTTATTTATGTTATCTCTTTTCGTGTGAGCATATGCCATGGGTGTACAAGCACCCCTGGAAACCAGAGGAGGCCTTTATGTCTCTGGGCAGGTATGGGTGCTGGGAGTTGTCCTCTGAAAGTCCAGAGGCCATCCGTCTCTCCAGCCCCAGAGCCGTGTTTCTGTATTCCGCCATGTTGCTTCATCTTCTGTCCTTTACTCTGTTGAGTAGTCATCTGATGTATCCATATTACAGTTGGCTTATCTTGCTTATTTCCTTTTTTGAGACTAAATCTTTGTGCAAGCATGGGCTTTCATTGATTTTTCGTGGATAGATACCTTGCAGCAGAGATTTTCTGTCTGAAGTTTAATGTCTAACTTTGTGAGAAACTGCCCAAGTTCTTTTTGTCCCCCCCTCAATGGTTAGACTGTTGTTGTTTTGTTTTTTTTTTCATTTAATAGTGAGATCTTAGTTGTTCCATATCCCTGTTCCTCTTATGTAGTATTTTTGAGGGTTGCTCTACTAAGGAATATAACAGTTCATGATTTTTTCCATTTATAACTAGGTAATATTATTTTATGTAGTTGTTTATAGATCTATATAATATGTATATAAATCTTTTGACCATTTTCTAAATCAGGGTTTTCTTCTTAAAAATTTGTTTTAATTAATATATTAAACTTTCTTGTGGTGACATCTCAGTACATATTGCAATATGTAATCATCATACTGGATTTTTCTACTATGATGTTTTATAAATTTATTAAGCATTCTATGTCAAGAATATTATCAAATATATTCACTACTAATATCTTTTCCCAATTTTTGGCATTTTTTTTTTTAGTCTTAACACTGTTGTGCAAATACTTCTTGTATTTTGGTGAAATCCAATTTATTTATTTCCTATTTGTTCTATGTTCCCAGAAATCTTTGTCTCTCTCAAGGTAGTTTTCTCCTACATTTTATTGTAAAAATTCTATAATTTAACCCCAAGTTCAGATTTGTGGTCAGGGTAGAGTTAATTTTGTTTATTTTTGTATTGGTACCCATCTGTTCCAGCACCGTTTGCGGAGAGGTTATCCTTCCCTCCTTGAACTTGGGCAGTAAAGTACTTCTGAGCTCTGCCCACTGATCTGTGTGTCCTTGTGCTGAAGCTTCATTCATGGAACTTTATAGTCAGTCCTGAAGCCAGGCAGAAGTTCTTTCAATTTCATCTTCCTTTTTCAGAGTTATTTTGACACTGGTACATCATTCCCATCTCCATCTAGATTTTAGAATAAATTCATAATTCTGTGAAACACCAGTTGAAATGTCTACTAGTATTATTTTGAATTTACAAGATCTAAAAGTAATTTGTGGAGAAGTGATGTTTTAGCATTAAAAAATTTCTAGCTTGTGAACTATTTATGTCTCTCTGTCAATGTTTATTATATTCACTATACTATCTTAAAAATAACTTGAAAAAATGCTTCCACTTCTTTTTTATATTCTGTTGAAAATTGTGTTATTGATTTTCAGTTTTTAATATTTATTACTCATTTGTAAAATTTAAGAACTTACCTTTTATCATACAGCCTGGCTGAACTGTCAGTTCTAGTAACTTTATTGTAGATTCCTTAGAACATTTTTGTTCTTAGTTGTGTTATCTACTAAAAGACAGCTTTACCTGTTCCCTCCTAGTCTGAGGACTGTGATTTGGATAAGTGTCCCCAGGAGATAGTTATTAGAGGCTTATGTCCAACTCTGGCACTTCTGGGAGACTGTGAAACCTTTCAGAACTAGAAGGAGTCTTACCACCAGAAGTGTGCCCTGTGGGGGAGATTAGGACTCAGCACTGTCCACTTCCTGACGGCCGTGAGGTGATCAGCTTGCTTCACTACATGCCTGCGATACACTGCCTTGTCATAGTCCAAAAAGCATGAGGCCAGCTGACCATGAACCAAAACTCTTATTAAAACTGTGAACCAAAATAAACCATTCTTCCTTAGAAATTGATTATGTCAAGGATTTTTTCACAGTGATAGATGATGGGCTGAAAGATTTCCAGCTGCTAGTTTTCACCCTTTTCCAATTTTCCTATCTGAGACCTCTAACACAGTTGACTTGACATTTATTCCTATTTGTTATATAAATGTTCCTGAATAGTGATCTGAATTCTTACCAGTATTTTGCTCTTTAGCTGGAAATAAGGCAGGAATGTCTGAAGGAAACACCTGGGAGATAGACTGATTTTTCAGACAATTTAACATATATGCAAGGAGAGAAACACTTTACTTTTTCTTTAAATGAGATATTAAAATCATTACTTTTTACTTCAGTATTTGTCTGTAGTTGGTATAATTCGGAAATAGAAAACTGCTTTTTGTTTAGTGGTTTTTAAATATTAAGCATCCAGGTCAGCCTTGTTGATGAAGGTCTAGATAGGTTGGTTCGTTCACACATATGTACTGCTCATTATGTGCTGAAATTGACTTTAAAAGTTTCTGATGTTTTACTTATTAGGTTAATTATTTATTTTGGGATAGGTACTCATTATACAGTCCTGGCTGACACTGAACTCACTATGTAGACCAGTCTTTCTTTGAACTCTTAGGAATCCGCCTGCCTCTGCTTCCTTAGTTATGAGATTGTATGCACAAGCCATCATGATCAAATTATGTTCTATCTCAAAATTTGGTACTAACTAGTATTGCCTTTTTGCTCTATTCTATAAATCCATTTGTTTTAATCATAAAATACATATTCAAAAATTCAAAGATAGTTTTCTGTCCCCCCCACACACAAACATTGCTTTTCTCCCATGAAGATGCCCATTGATCTTGTGACTTCGCATATCCATCCTCTCCCCAGGATATGAAAACCTCAACTCAAAGTGTGATGACTCCGAGCTTGGGCTTTACATTTCGTGCTGGGTTCCACTCTTGCTGTGCACCTCCTGAGCTATGTAACTGCTTGTTCTTCATCTTTCTGAGCCTGTTTTTCCTCTTTCGACTGGAACCTACATTTGTTTTTATCTGAGAATTAAATGAAGTAACTGATGCCACAAACCCTTTGTTTCTGATGCTCTTGCTACAGTTATATATACAAGCTTTTCAACTGTTAAAATACAACAGTGTAACTAAAGACAGTTATTCTGTTATTGAGACAAATTATAAATGTGAACACTTAATTCAAATAAGTTAGAAGCTCCTTTAGTCAGAATCTATATATAGTAGTAAAACATTTTTCTAGGCATACAATCTAATGTTCATCAATACTTAGATAAACTCTTTCTGGAAAAAAAAACAAACAAACCAAAGCAAAACAAAAAAGCACACTTAAAGCTCTAACAGAATCACTGGCCTGAGTAATCTAGGTCTGTTTGTTTAAATATAATTTGAAGTTCTTGTTATTTCTGCACATAGTTATAATATTGCCAGTGATATCACATATTTTTAGCCTTTAGTTGCGATTACTTTCTGTACTTTAAAGTTTACCATTTTAAGCCTATATCGAATGACTTTAGCACATTCCTCATTCTGTACGACCATCACCACTGCTCTTCCCCCCGTCTTATTTCCCCAACAAACACCCTGCCCAGTAAAAGTAATTCCATTTCTTCATGACCACTATTCTCATTTTTCTCTTAGAGTTTACCTATTCTAGACACATAAAGCAGAGAGAATAAGAAATGCATACAACTGCCTATAATGTATGAATAATACCAACAAATGTGAATAGGCCTGAAGCACCATTAGAACAATTTTCACATTTTTACCACAAAGCAAGGTCCAGCTATATGCTGTGTAAAAGAAAGACACTTAAAACAGCAGCTCAAGAAGACTAAACAAAAGGGGGTATTTTAAAACAGACAAGCATAAGCCATGGAAAACAGACAGTGATCCTGATGTTTGACAGTGAGACTCAATAAAAAATATTAAATGGAAGAAAACAATACACTTTTTTTCAGTAAGCAGGATGATGTATTGATGACCTCTTCCCTGGGACTGTGAATATCTTACCTTAAGTAGCAAAAAGGACTTTACAGATGTGATTGCGATTATAGACCTCGAAAGGCAGAGATTATCTGGGACTTTGGTGGTAGTCTCAGTGTAACAACTTGAAACTTAAAAGCAGAATGTTTTTGACAAGAGACAGAAAGAAATCATCCAAATAACATGTATCATCAACATGTAAGAATGACTTGCTGTGGTATCATTAGTTAGAGAAATGATATGATAAAGAGATAAAGGCCTTACTGCCCTGGGGAGAGAGTGGGAAGTGTTTCCCTCCCACAGTCTCCAGAAGGGGCCATGGCTCTGTTGAGAGCTTGGTTTTGGCCTTGTGAGATCTTAAGGTATGAGGCAGATGAGAGCCACACCCTGTCTAGATGTACCACCCACAGCTGCTAACAGGGAAAAAAGAATAAACTGG